GAGTTTTGTTCCTAGCTTTGTGTGGTACTTTATTTAGAATGTGGTTAGCGGAGAGAATTGCTTCCCCCCACAAATTATGTGGTAAACTAGAACTAATCAACATAGCGTTCATCATCTCTTTTAGAGTACGATTTTTGCGTTTCGCAATACCGTTTGATTGAGGTGAATAAGGAGCTGTAGTTTGATGAATAATCCCAGAATCTGAACAAAATTCATCAAACGGTGCTCCATATTCCCCACCTCTATCACTACGAACAATTTTTATTCATTTGCTTAGTTGATTCTCAACCTCATTCTTGTACTGTTTAAATGCTTCTAAAGCCTCGTCTTTACTCCTTAGCAAAAAGACATAATAATACCTTGTGCAATCATCTATAAAAGTAATAAAATACTTTTTACCTCCTCTAATTTGCACAAACTTTAAATCACAAATATCACTGTGAATTAGTTCTAGAGGATTCGAGTTCCTTTCAATTGAATGAAATGGTGTTTTCGCTAATTTATCCTCTACACATGTTGCGCATCGATGATTTTGATCAAATGACATAGAAGGCAATAAATCTAAACTTACTAATCTTCGTAATGTATTAACATTTACATGTCCTAACCTATCATACCATAAGTTAGAAGCCTCAATCAAGTAAGCAGAAGATTTATTTTTATTAATATCAAAATCACGGAGTACAGGCATTACATTCAATTTGAATAGCCAATTAACTAAGTACCCTTTGCCTACAAACATACCATTTTTGGTGAGTACAAACTTGTCAGATTCAAATACCAGCCTAAACCCATTCTTGCTTAAAAGAGCTCCGGATACCAAGTTTTTGCAAATATCGGAAACATGCAGTACATCGATGAGTGCTACTTCTTTCCCTGATGTCATCTTCAGCACTACTTTATCTAGACCAATAACTTTTGATGTTGCTGAGTTGCCCATGAAGAGTTGTCGTCCATTGATAGGAGTGTACGATGAAAACATCTCCTTATCCGAACAAACATGACGAGTAGCGCCAGTATCAATGAACCATTCTCTCGGATTATCCACCATGTTTGCTTCAAATACAACGTCCGAGAGCATTAGTTCAGACACTCCATTAGACAGTCTATTTTTTTCAGTCAAGTGCACTTGATCCTTTTTGTTTTGCTTTTTCTGCCAACATCCCTTTGCGATATGACCAGGTTTACTGCAGTTATAGCAATCTCCTTTGAATTTCTTGGCCTTGCTCTTTTGCTTGCTATTATTCGGGTGCTTCCTTTTCTTGCTAGTATTTGGCTCCACCAAGTTGACTTTAGCCTCCATTTGCTGTTTTCCAGACTTCTTTTCAACATTTTGATTGTCTTCCTCAATTCTTAATCTAACAATCAAATCTTCAAGTCTCATTTCCTTGCGTTTATGTTTCAGGTAGTTCTTGAAATCTTTCCACATTGGTGGTAATTTTTCGATAATAGTAGCTACCTGAAATGGTTCACAGAGCTTCATGCCTTCTGCATGTATATCGTGCAAGATAAGTTGTATCTCTTGGACTTGAGTCATTACTATTTTAGAATCTACCATTTTGAAGTCCAGGAATTTGCCTACAACGAATTTCTTCAATCCAGCATCTTCTATTTTGTACTTCTTTTCCAATGACTCCCATAGTAATTTAGCCGTTTTGACGGAACATTATACGTTGTATAGTGTGTTGTCAAGGCAATTGAGGATGTAATTTCTGCACAAAAAGTCACTATGACTCCAAGCATCGAATGCTGCTCATTTTTGAGAATCTGTTTCCTTCTCCTCAACAGTTGGAGCATCTTCTCTCAAGATTTTGACCAGATTCAGAGTCGTGAGATAGAACAACATTTTCTGTTGCCATCTCTTAAAATCCACCCACGTGAATTTTTTCAGTTTCTCCCCGTGAGCATTGTTAGGGGGTACGACAGACGTACTAGGGGGTACGACGGACGTACTACTACTTGCCATTATCGTTTTAAGATTGTTGAAAAAGATTGGCAAATAATAGTGTCACCGTAATTTATATTTGGGCAGAGTACTGACGTTTGGATGGTTTTGAATGGTCGAGGCAAGAGTTCGACTATTTCTCCTTAAGACGATAATACCCTGCACTGGTACTGACGGTATTGTAGCACTCATTTCCCAAGATACAACGACCTCGTCTTGTAATAGTAGTACTCCAAATTACAAGATCCGACGAACCCGTAAAGTTTATATCTCTCCACACACACTGGATGACTGAAAAGCGCGAAATGTAATTTTTAAGGATTGAATTATAAAAACAGAAATTATGCAGGGACAAGGGGATAATTTTGGGAGAGTAGAAAATCAATTCTGATTTTGGAATGAATAAAAATCGGGGTATGGGGGCCTATTTATAGATGTTGAAAGGTTGTGTTCCAACAGGCACAACTGCTGAAAAGTTTTGTCCAAAAGACACAAACAGCTTGGACGGTCAACCGCCACTTTAGACAGTCAACCGCCACAACCCGCCAAATTCTAGAAGCACCGCACATACACAGAAAATTCGGGAAAGAAAAAATTGATAACATAAAATATATTATTATTATAATAATAAAATAATATAATTAAATGTTATTTTACCAAAAAATATATATACTAGCTTGGCCCAAGTCCATGACCCGTGCCGAGCTGGCCGGTCGGACGAACGGCGGCATCGGCACGCGCGTGTGGGCTTTGGCTTAACCTACTAGCATGTAGGTGCTCTCCCCCTCAAAGACTATTAGTACCCCTTGGGGCCCAATCCAAGTCCCAAACTTGAGCTATTTAAGGTGGTTTATATTCTTCTAGTTTTTCTATGTGTGATTGGTATTTTCCAATTTTTCACCTATTTTATTTCAATATCAAGTGGGCATCTTTTGACCTTAATTTCTCATTCACCCTAAATTGATTTTGAGAAAATAAATATACCATATTAATCTACTCATGGAGTAGAACACATTGGGCCAAAGAAATCTTATTTTCGATTAATGAGACCCACTAAATTAATTGGTCAAAAGTTGGTCAAACCAACTAATTAAACCCAATTTTCCAACACAAAGCACCCGTAGTTTTTGGCCTGAAACATTCTGTTCCCCTCTTCTTTTAGCTCATGGACTCTTTTTAAAAGAAAAAAGATTAATCCGATTTAAAACCACCATTAACGGTAGGTGAAGGGTCCTTATCTCCTCCAGATGATTGGTTTTGATTTTGGTCCCCAAGACTTCCCCATATATCCTCACACCCTCCAAAGATTTAAACTTTATTCTAAATACTAGTTCCTGGCCATGCAATGCATGGCTTGAATTTTGTTTAAGGTGATATTAGTGTGGTGATTTATATTAGTATTGAATTTTTATTGTAATTCACTATTTTTAGCTTGTTTCATTTACTATGCTCTAATAAAGATTTTCATGTAGAATTCTTTTTGAGCTGTTTAGATGGAAAATAGTAGTTATACTTTTCAATAGGCAAATTCGCAGTAATAATTTTGTTTTGTGCGTGAAATAGGTTTTTTAAGTGTATATGAAAACGTGGTTATTATTATTTTCTGCAAATTATGTGAAAGGTTTGTGCTGTAATTATTCTCAAAGTTTATGACATTTCCCAATGAGTAGCAAAAATAAGTGCAGCAGCATATCTGTTCATAAATATATTAGAAAGTTATATTTAAGGTATAAAATGAGAAGTATAAATATGGATTTGCTTTTATTTGTCCTAAATGAGTTGGTAAGAAGTATTTCTCTACGATTTTATTTACAATAGTTAATAAATAAATTATACTATTATAGATTATTTAACTTAATCTTATAAACATATAGACTGCTAAAGAAATTACTACGAGGGTTGATAAAAATTCTATAAAAATTCATATGATCAATTTTTTCAGTCGTTTTATTGAATAATGATAATACATTTAACGAATAAATAAATTATTTGCATAATGATTGTATTTAAAACACGTTGAATTAAACTTGTATAGAAAGAAAATTGAAATACAAATGGGATTATAATGATCACTTTCAAAAGTTGAATTAAGCTTGTAGAGAAAGAAAATTGAAATACAAAATGAGATTATAATGATCACTTTCAGAAGTTAATAGCGTTATTACAAAAGGAAGAAAATGAAACATTGATAAGAAATTGTTAAAACGGCAATTCTTTGATATACTTGATATTTGAATACATGATACTTACATGATGGGTGATGAAAAGCTTTTTCTTCTTGGTTTCAACATCAATCATGATAGGGCATACCTATTAAAGCAAGAGAAAAGCTATTAGCAGAAGTAGAAAGAAACAAGACTAAGGTATATGTAGAAAAAATTGAGATTGAATTAATTAATGAATATAGACATTTATTTTGGTAATTCTTTTACCTTATTATAACTTTTGCTTTACATGATGGGGACATTATAAAAAAAAAAAAAAAGTAAGTTACCTTCTTTGTTATGGTTATGATAAATATGGACGGAAAAAATATTCATTTTGACTGATATCTGTGACAATTTTTCGTCTGTATAAACCTATTTTCTCAGTTGAAACTGCTTCTAATGGATATCCGAAAATGAAGCATTCAATGTATTTGAGAAGAAGAACTCCAGAGTTTGGCCTACAAAAAAAATAGTTTGAAGTTATTTTATAGTAATGCTATAAACGTAAAATAAAATTGAATAGAAAAATAAATATTAAAGTAAATTGTTGAGATACTTACCCATTATTTTGACAAGGTAGATATGGTATGATTTTCAATTTCATACGTTTATTTCTATGTTTTCGTAAATTTGGCTTCCCGAAGAAAATGTCAGTAGCTATTAATAATGATTGTACTACATCCAAAACTAGGGCTGTACGTAACTTGATTGCATCTGGTGTATGAATATTGTGGCTGCAATCATATACTTGAAATTTCCACTTTTCAAAATCAACAAGAAAAATAAACCAACTGTTGCCTGGTTATGCGACTGGAATCAATAAATAGTTGTATGTTATCCAGGGTCGAGTAAATGTAGGTAATTCTCCTTTTGTGTATTGCTCTAATGCCTGGAAATTATTCACAGAAGCGGTTGCTCCTTGTTTGATCGTTGTGTACCAATGAACACATTCATTCTCGAATCGAAAGTCCATGATTGCATATTCTTTGGAAACCGGGGAAGATGTATCATGAATGATTCTTCGCAACAGCTTTAATTCTATATCAATATGTTAGTAAAAAAATTTTAAATTAGCTATATTAATAACGAAGTAAAATTAATAAAGATTGCTAAAGTTGACTTACCACAATATTTATATCTTTAATTTGATTTATTATATTTATCAGCGAATGTCTTGCGTATTGATTGCCGATTTCATCTTTCCAGTATGCACTATATAAGAAAAAATGAAATTGTTATTAAATAAGTAAAATACGAAATAGAATATTTAAGTTAACGAAGTTAAATTTAATATCTTACTCTGATGGATTTTCTGATATCCATTCTCTAATGTTTTTGTATTTGTCGATGTTATAATCTTCTAAAGTATTCGTTGCCGTTGGTGATGGAGATTGTGTCTCTTTTTGCTTACCGTTTTTTTCTTTTGTTGATCTTTCGATGTCTTCTGCATGTTCAGATGTTGAAGGCATTTCAAATTCAGCTTGATTTGTTGGAGGGGGAAAATCATGTTGTACAGAGGCTACAATTGATTCCATATGTGATTTCCAGTTGGTTAACTCATTCTGCATATTTTGATTTTGTTCATCAATGTAAGACTTCATTAAACCGAAACTAGTATCCACATAAGAATGCATGTCAGGTTGTATGCCCTGAAAATGTTCCTGTTGATTTTTTTGCTGCACTTCAAAAAATTATTTTTGATTGTCAAGAAGTGTCTGACAGAAAGTTTGTTGATTTTCAAGAATCGTATGATACTGAGCTTCTTGCTTTGTTGCTTCTTGAATCATCTGTGTTTTCAAACTGTCGTAGAAATCAAAGACATCTTGTCTGTGTACATTGAACATCTGTTCCATATCTTGTTTAGTTACATAGTCTGAAGTACCGGAAGAAGTAGATTCAATTCTATTTGAACTGTGTACAGTTGTTTCTTGTGGATGTATGTTATATGCTCAAATTTGTTCTGTTGTATTTTCCAATTCACCATTGACAATGTTGTCTAGTGTACAATGTTGGTTGTCAATTGGCAATGAAAGAGTTGTATACCAGAATGTTTCCAATTCTGCTTCAGTAGGATTTAACGTTGCAATTACTGTAATCTATTATTGTAATATTGTAATAAAATATCAGACGTATTCTCTAAAATTTATTTATAAAGAATAAAACATATATTTAATTGTATACTAAAATGAACATACCTCTTCAGTAGCTAAAAATTCTTTAATAACATTTACCGCTAATACCATTTGAGGCTGCCATTTATGCATTCGTGGACATTTTAAACTTGTACGGATACGGTGACCAAATTGTCGTCCAATTTTAGGAAAAGTTTCGTATATCCAATACTGAAATATAAGTAAAAAGGAATATTAACGTTTTTACATGATTAAATTATATCGAATAGGGAATAAATGTAAGAAAAATACCTGGAATACAAGTGGATAACCATGCAATGAATATTTACATTCTGCTTGGTTATTTTGTTGCATTCTTCGTATTCTTTCAAGCTGTGATTCTTGTAATGAATGTAATAGAACAAAATATGCCTTACGTCCCCATGGATACATGAGAAATTCATCAAGCTGTTCAATCATTCCAAGAGTTCTATAATCGATGTGTCTTCCAGTTGGTTTTAAAACACATTCGACAAACATAACTAATCCCAACTAAAATTTATCTTCTCGATCTTCACATATATGAAATACTTCAAAAAGTCTTATCATAGTTATTCGTTTTGAACCATCGAAGTATTCATCTCTAAGTCGAGTATTACTAAAATTTAGATCAACAGTAGGTTCATGACATGGCAATCCAGTTATGAGACAAAATTCTTGTAGGCCAAAACGAGCTACACGATCGTCTAGTTGTACCCAAACTTCGTTATTTTTACCACAGTTTATAAGTCTCATTATGAACTCATGTGTTAACTTGCTGCTAAATTTGTCATTTTGCTTCTTATTCATATTTCCACAAATGAATCCATGGAATGAACTGCACAATAAAGAGGCTTGATCATTTGCATTTATAAGTTCTACAAAATCTTTAAAATTTTGATGATTTGCAAATTGAGTAATTGTAGCAGAGAACCATTGATTTGGAGATAATATGTATTCTGATGACATCTGCAAAAAGTAATAAAAAAAAATATTTAGTAGTCAACAAATTTATTCATATACTAATTTAACATAATTTTTTAGAAACTGGCTAATTTTGTTCATGATGATGAATAACATTTTAGAAACTGCAACTTCATGAAAAAAAAAATTTAGTATTATATCTATATATATATATATATATATATATATATATATATGAATTAAAAAAAAGAAGGAAAATAATGTAATTGAGAATTATAGTAATTAAAAAATTAATTAATTAAAAGAAAATTTTTTTGATGTTAATAGATAATTGAAATTTTTTACATTAGACATGGTAGTTGATCGTAGAAAAGAAATTATATTAAATGTGTTAAATTTGTATTTTTTTGAAGTACTAAATTCGAGAAACTAAATTTGTATTTTTTTGTGAAAGGGTTTTTAATAAAAAAAATTATGGTATAATGTAATTGAGAATTATAGTAATTAAAAAATTAATTAAGTAAAAGAAACATTTTTTGATGTTAATAGATAATTGAGATTTTTTACATTAGACGTGGTAGTTGATCGTAGAAAAGAAATTATATTAAATGTGTCAAATTTGTATTTTTTTGAAGTACTAAATTCGAGAAATTAAATGTTATAATTAAAAGATTAAAAATAAATATTTAACAAGGAATGTTAAAATATATTTACCCCTCGCATTTTATTTTATTCTTGAATATGGAAATTTGATATTAAAATTCTAAATATAAAAAATGTATTTTTGAGTCGAATTTTGGAAAAGAATATAATTATTTAATGAAATTAAAAGGGTTACAAAAAATTTTAAGATGACTAGTTATATAATAATTTGTATTTATTGTAAAATATTTTTAATTTTATAAATAATGAAAGATGAGTTTTATATTATAATTTGTATTTATTTTAAAATGTTTTTAATTTTATAAATAATAAATTTTTGGGTATAATGTATTTTTTTTTATTGTAACGTTTTGGAGACACTCCGCGCAGAGCGGAGTGTTCCCAAAGGAACACTCCGTGCTGCGCAAAGTGATCTCTCGCGCAGCGCGAAGCATAAAGGCGCCAAAATCACCCCGCGCAGCCCGAAGCGATCTCTGCGCAATACGGAGTGTGGTCACTCCGAGTAGCTTGGAGTGATTCTGCCGAAGGAGTTGTGCTTTCTAAATTCAAATTTTTCATGCTCTTCGAGATATTAACAAACTTGAGATTTAGTAAATGTTCTTCGAGATATTAACAAACTTGAGGTTCAATAAGGGGAGTTGTTCAACAGCTAGTGATAGATTCAATATTTTTTGGCCAAATGAAAATGATTGAGATTTGCATGAATAAGTTTTAGGTTTCATTTTAGCTTTGATATTCATATTATTGAAGAATTTGTTGGCTGATGAATTTGTATCCAAAATATTCTTTGAATTCCTCTACATTTTTTCTTATCCTAAGACATGGTGGAAGTGATGGATTGCATGCGTTCATTCGTTTGACTATGCAGTGACAGACATGGTATGTTATACTATTAATGTATATAATGCAGATTAAATACTTGCAATAAAGAAAAGTGACACTTGCAGTAAAGAAAAGTGACACATAATTTTGCATGATTTTCCTAATATAATAGAATTGATAAACCACATATTCTCTATACGATAAATATATTCGAAATTTATTTTCATTGGAAAGAAGATTACCTTTCTTCCTGGTGGTTGAACTTAGTTTCCTTTTGAGAACTTTGAAAATTGAAAGAAAATGTTTTTGAGACGTGTGAAATGGTAGTGAAAGGATGGTTAAATAGTTGAATATGGGTAGTTAAATGTGGGTAGGTAGTATTTTGAATGTTGGTTAGTAAATGTGGATAGGTAGGTTTGGATAGTAGTTTGAATGTGGGTAGATAGATGTTGTTAACTACAATGTGGGTAGTTGAAATGTACAAATGTTTCATTTACTATTTTTTTTTTCTCATTTTTTATTTTAATTAGAGAGAATATTTTATTTTTATTTTTGTTGGTGTTTTTTACTTATGAATTATTTTCTGTTTGTTCTGGATTTTGTAAAATCGTATTTTTTTCGTTTATTTATATATGTAGAAGAGAGAGTTTGCATGAAAAGTAAAATTATATGTAATTGTTGATGTAAGTTTATGAAAATATTTATTGAATGAAATAATTGACGGTATAAATTAAAAAATTTGTTTAAAAGTTCATTTAAAAGCGAGGTAAGTAGACTTTGTTGAATAATTACAAAATGAAAAATGTGAGTATATTGAACTTATGTTTTAAGATATGTAAAATTGAAGAGGAAACTATGTTTAAATAATAGATAAATTGAAATATGTATTTAAAAAGGCTGTTTTTTATTCATAGTAAAATGATAGGATATAAGTGGTTAAACTGTTGAAGGTAGTACGTATCTTGTTGGGAATTATCATGTTACATAATTCTTTCTATGTGAAATCATTTAGATCAATGAAATTAATTCTTCCTTTATCATATGTTATAATTATTAAGTTTATAAAAAAAGAAAATACTTTATCGTAACATAGTGTTTTCTTGATGAATTAAATATTTATATTTTAAAAGAAAGCAGAGGTGAATTTAGTTTTTTACAAGCATGCAATTAAAAGAAAATGAATAAATTTATATTTTTTTTACTTTGTTAAATTATTTAGTTTTTTTAAATAAAAAAGAGAGTTTGCACAAAGAGTACAGTTATATAAATGATATAATTAATTACCAATTAACTATATAAATGAAACAGTTTGTTTAAAAAATTATTTAAAAGCTAGGTAAACTTTATTGGAACAAAGAAAAAAAGAAATTAATTTAAAAAATTAGAAAATGGAAAATGCAAGTATATTGAACTTGTGTTTTGATTACGTATTCGATTAAGCGAAATTGAGGAGGAGATAATATTTAACTAATAGATAAAGTAAAATATATGTATTTTACACAACTATTCTTTATCGATAGCAAAAGAAGTTTTATATATTAGTGTCAACCACGGGTCGAGTACAATTCTGTGATTTCACAGTATTTACATTTTTAACAACAAAAACATACCAAAATATCTAAAGCAACCTATTCTATTTAGAAACCAAAATCATATAACTGAATCTAAAACTCATTATTCTACTGGAGATTTATAGATTATAGGTTGCTTGTAGAATCACAGAAGTGTCTACTGTTAGATTGTCTATTATCCCAAAACAAAACGAACATGAGTTGAGGTTTTATCCAGAGCTAAGCACATCAGCATCTTCAACGTGTTTATCAGTCTTCATTTTCTTCTTGGAACGAGTTTAGGTTTTTTGGTCTCGAGTTTGAAAGAGAGCCCTCTTTGCATTTGGTGCAAGCACTTCGTCTACGTTTGTAGAATCTTGATTATCTGTCATGCACATCTTCTCTTTACTTTTCGTAGATGTTTTGTTTGAACTATCATCAGTTGTTACAAGAGAAGAATCCAATTCTATGATTGTACTTGAAGAATCAATGTCAGTTGTTGTTGAAGAATTGAATATGAAGATAATTTCATATCGGTATTCAGGTGGATTTTGGCTTCTTGGTGTTACTTTTAGGTAAAAAAGCTGTTCTTCTTCGTTGTTAGTTCTTATGAGATCTTTTAGTTGTGTATCCACGTCCTGAAATATTAAAATTATACTCACTTAATATGATGAAGTAAATGCAAATAATTATTAAAAATTTAGTAGTATTTGGAGTTAACCTTTTCAAAATGGTTCATAATTTGGACGGCATTTGCTTCCATTAAAGTTTCTACGGTTTCTCCTATTATGGTTGCATCCAAGCCTCCAGAGTTGTCTTCAATATGTACGAAAGCAGTTACCCTATATAGAGAAGTTAATTAAATTACATAGTAAGTTTTGTTAAATGAAGTGTTATTTTTAATAAATAGTTAAATATAGGTTTAGAGTACATGTTACCTTGGTATTGCTTTTGCATGTTCAAATTTGCAGAAACGACACTTATGAATTTGACTCAAGTCTGCACTTGACGTTTTCTTACAATAGTTACATGCAATATACCAAAACTTTTGGTTCATTGAAGTAATTTTCCATTGCGCTTTGACCCAATAAAATTTTTTCTATTTTCTTTACATTTATATTTTAAGTAAAATGAACACTAACTTTATGATTGAAATTTTTTATTTTTTTAGGACTTACGCTCTCTACAAAAGTGAACAGCACTTTTTTCATTAATCCTGCAATTGTAGCTGTCACAGACTACAAAGAATGGTTATCGAATAGAACTAACAAATTTCTTCTATTTTTCTAACTTCATAAATATCGGTAGTAAATCTCACACTTCATTGTTTGCTTTATTTATGCAGAATTGAAACAAACAAAGAAAAGCTTGACAAATTAATCCAAGATAAGCCATCTATTGCAGTGATGCCAACCAAAATTTCACCTCCAGATGAAAATAAATTCACGCCAATTGCTGACTTACGGGGAGTCCATTTAGGAGTAATTTCAAAAACGTTTATTTATATATATATATATATATATATATTTAATTAAACATTTTTGAAATTACTCCTAAATGGACTCCCTGTAAGTCAGCAATTGGCGTGAATTTATTTTCATCTGGAGGTGAAATTTTGGGTGGCGTCACTGCAATAGATGGCTTATCTTGGATTAATTTGTCAAGCTTTTCTTTGTTTGTTTCAATCTTGCATAAATAAAGCAAACAATGAAGTGTGAGATTTACTACCGATATTTATAAAGTTAGAAAAATAGAAGAAATTTGTCAGTTCTATTCGATAACCATTCTTTGTAGTCTATGATAGCTACAATTGCAGGATTAATGAAAAAAGTGCTGTTCGCTTTTGTAGAGAGCGTAAGTCCTAAAAAAATTAAAAATTTCAATCATAAAGTTAGTGTTCATTTTACTTAAAATATAAATGTAAAGAAAATATTTTTTTTATTCTGTTTAACGTTGTACGAAGAAACTTTTAAATTAGTCACCCAGATGATTGGTTTGCTTCCAATGTTATCTATTATAGTAACGCACTCATTTTCAACAAAAGTGTCCCACATCGTTAATATGATCGTCTGGAAAGACTTATCTATCAGCACAACATCTTGAAGATAGGTTTGTGTGCCAAACTGGGTTTGGATAATTCTTTTTTGACGAACTTCTATAACGACGCCTATAACACCTGCAAAAAAGAAGTTGTGTTGATATCATATTTTTTATATGATAAAATGAATATAAATAGAACGATTAAAAAATGTTAACTAATTTATATTGGCTATAAGTTAATGTGTTTGTGATCATACTTATCTCTTCATTACTATCCATGTATCGTTCAAGTTTGTTGAATTTAAAGTTTCTACGGTTTCTCCTATTATGGTTGCATCCAAGCCTCCAGAGTTGTCTTCAATATGTACGAAAGCAGTTACCCTACATAGAGAAGTTAATTAAATTACATAGTAAGTTTTGTTAAATGAAGTGTTATTTTTAATAAATAGTTAAATATAGGTTTAGAGTAGATCATACTTATCTCTTCATTACTATCCATGTATCGTTCAAGTTTGTTGAATGCTGTGAGTTCATATCTCGAGAAGAGAAGGTTTAAATTATCCTCCTTAAGTTCTTCTATCTTTGTCTTTGCTGTTATGGTCCAAACTTTGTCTTCAAGCGAGCCTCTGAACTCATTTCTGTTGTCTTTTACAGTTGCATTTGATAACATGTATGTTTTCCCTAGTGTTAGCTCATCTGCAAGGGCCGTAATATTTGTATCATAGATTATGGCGGTAACTTTGTTACCCTGTTCAAATGTAAAAATGAGTTCTATATAAATATATTACGAAAACAAATATTTAGAATAGAAATAAGAAGATTCGTAAATATATATTTACCTCTAAATCCATTAAGAGAAGGTTTTGGTAGCGGCTAATGTTATTTTGAGCAGTTTTAGGTGCTTGTTTTCCTGCAACTATGATTTTTGCAGTCCAATTCTTCTCAAAAGTGGAAATCTGTGGGATAAGTTTATAAAATACGGCCATTCTTGATATGCTATGATTATGTGAAGAAGAAATTATTACACAAATAGTTACAGTTGTTAATATTACGTTAAATTTATCGTAAAAAAATGATATCGATTTTTTTAATTCTAAAAGTTTTTTATGAAATAATCTAACGTTCTTCTTTTGGATTAATAAAAGATAATTATAGTAAAATGATAGTAACATGTAAAACTTGCCAATAAGAAAACGAAAACGAAAACGGAGTTTTTAAAGTTTTGCAGTTGTAGTTGAAGAGTATGATGTTTACGATACTGTTGTAGAATTTTGATGCTGAAGGGGAAAGTAAAAGTAACATAAAATTATTTATTCGAAAGCAGCTATTAATAGATAGAACATTAGTAGAAGAATCTTTGTTTTAATATCCAACCATACACTTGGTCTGTAAAATATCTTTTTGTATGGATGAGAATTAAAGTGAAAGAAAAAGTTAATGATGATTTATATGAAAAAGTTTTGCGTGGAAGGTTGGCACTATTTTTTTTCATTTGTATAATATCTATTTCACGTGTATATATATATATATATATATATATATATATACATACATGTAATTGATGATGGTTTATACGTTTAAAAGTTGTGCGTGGAAAGTAACGTACTATTTTTTGTCATTTGTAAAATATCTATTTCATGTAGATATATACTTAGAATTGAAAAGGCTTTTATAAAAAGTTGGTAGTTTTCTGTGTTAGTTTTTTACTGGTTCACGTGTTGATTTTGAAAAATATTACTTTATAATTTGCTAAAATGTAATACATTATGCTAGATTTACAAATTGGAAGAAGGATTGTTAATCCATATGTTTCAAATACGAGTGCTTCATGCATAATACATTTAGTAAGTAACTTTATTTATTCACTTTATTTATTAAGTAATTTTATCTATTCACGAAGTTGTGGGGAGCTTAACTTATATTATCATAAGTGTTATCAGGTTAAATGTTACTATCATTGTTGTTTGTCTTTTTTTTCTTTATTTTCTGTTGGATTTATGTATTTTGAAAAACTATTGTGTTCACTTATTACATTAGTAAGAAGAAAATTCAATTTATGGTCGAAAAATGTATGAATTGTATGAAAAACATTAGTTTTTAATTAAGTGAAAGAGTAAATAGAAAACTTCGAATCCAGGATGTTGGAAAATATAATAAAGGATACTAAGGTTGAACCATCATTTATTATAAACAAAAATTTGTATTTCAAGTACTTGAATACATCACCATGGATGTACTTCCCCTTAGTTTCCTCTTCATCATCAGCTAACTTCTCATTGTCGGTTTACCTTACCACAAAAAAGACGATAAATAGATTAGATATAGGACGTCCAACATTCATGCATTAATTGCCATAATGCATTCATTTATGAAGGACCAGAGTTAAAATAACATAGACAAAAGGATGCAAAAAGTCAAAAAGTACATATTTGATATAATTGAATGAATTTTTTATCTAAAGTTATATTAACTGAAGGCATGAACGAATGAAGATAGCAGATCTTATCCCTTGTTTGCAACAACATCAAGCATGACATGAAGATTATATGAAACGTAAAGCAGTCCAAACTATTATAGAAAAGAGTTAGAAGATATTTAGAAAATTTATATGTATGGTTTAATATCTATTGCAATAATCAACTTCTTATTTGTCAAAGAATATAAGTCATTCCTAACCTGAAGAGACCTAGAAAGGTAAAAAAATGTCAATGCTGAATTAGATATAATAGTGACAAGGCAAGGCGAAAATTAGCCAAATTGATCTTCACACATACTGAACCAGTGATCACTAAATTTCACTAATACTGTGTCTAATATTCTACAAATAATAAATTGAAATTACATAACATTTCAAAGAGAAATGTCGTACGCGAATTATACTTACAAATGTTTCAATTCCTATAGATTATTTCGAATTAATTTCAACAATTCAGAAGAAGAAGAGAAATTAGGGCTAGCTAATGTTTTTTTTTTTTAAGATGGAATTATGAATTAAAGTTTTCGGTAGCAAATTGTCTTTGGCTAGAGAAGAATATATATCGTATAAAAAAAATTATTAGACCCTTAGTATAAGAATTACTTTGCCAGATGGATTTGGAGATACGATGGAAAACACTTAAAATGCTTCCTAGATGAACAGTAGACGTAAGATTCCATTTTTTAAAAGAGTAGGAATGTAAAGAATAAGCATCTTGAAAATTTATCTTTTCATATGTTCATCATTCGATTAATAAAAATTGAAAATATCATATACTAAGAAACATAACAATATAGCATAATGCAAGGAAACATATCATCATATAATTCAATCCAAATTCCATCTTTGCATATTTATCAGCATTGAAAGTGAATATATTTTCGACCATGTAAGATTAATCGTCTTTAGATATAGGATGACTGTAATCCTACTCTGAAAAAATAACATTGTTGGTTAGAATTTAGATTAATAATAAAATTAGTAAAAAAAATTTTATTAAGTTTCCCAAAAAATCAATTCATGCATTGATAAAGAAATATGTAATGTATATATAATAAAAATAGTTGCTCACAAAATTTTTTGTTCACCGAACAAAGTTAGATGATTAAATAGGAAAGCGTTAATGTACACACACCAGTTTTGTATATTCTATCAAGAAGAATAATGTTAAATTCACTCAAATATTTCCTAACGTTGCACGAAGTAAAGGGAAAGCATAAAATGTTCATTGAATTCTAAAAGATCATCAAACCATCTCTATGTAAAACTTAATTAGAACAAGGAATATTATTGGACTATCGAAATTAAAAGAAACTTATGTATTATTGATCTTATTGTATAAAATCAACAGAATTCAAATATATAACATTAGCATATTTTTAGTTCAAGATGATTTGTTAAAATTGAACATTTCATGATTCACTTGCATAAATGAGATTTATTGACCAATTGAAACATAGTTTAAACAAAAGGGAAAAATATAAAATATGATTAGAATGTAACGTACCAAGTAGGTCATGACATTGCCAAGAGTTGGGTTTTATGGTCAAATTTATGAAAGCACCTTGCCCCATAACTACCACAAGCATTGCATGGCTCTGATTTATCTGAGTTTCAGTAGTAAGCTTCTGTATCAAGTTTTCACCTATTTTCATATTCCCAAATTTTAAAATTTGATTTCCAAGCTGTAAGCCATCTGCTGTTGCTGAAGATCCTTTTGTAATTTCATCAACCATTGCAAAAGGTCTGCTAAAGCGAACAACTACCCCCATGTCCATACTATTATTACCTCCAGCAACAGGATTCCTAAAAGACGTAGGTGTGCTTAAATTAACACCATGTTGAGCATTTAATCCTGCAACCACACCTAGAGAAATTAAGATAATGCTTTAAGTAACTTGCATAAAGTAGTGTATTAGACTAATTCATTATAAAAGCAAAAAATCAGATTATAAATAGCTGATGACAAAGCCATAAATCGTATTTTACACATCATTTGTAAGCAATTGAAGTACAATTCTGTTAGTGTACAAGTAGAACCAGCAAGAAGCAGAAGCAGCAAAATGATTTCAATAAACCATGAGCTTCAAAAGGAAAATCAAGCATTAGTCTCCCTATTGATAGAATTACAATAGCATAAAACTGTCCAAGAATTAGAACGTATGATGCACAAAGGGCAGACATATTATATTTAAGACTTAAATTTAGGGAACTTATAATATTCATAGAGAAACTAATTTTTAACAAATCTATCTCACAAACTAATTGACATCAATTAGATTATTAAAAGAAAATCAAAAGGATTAGAAATCCAGTTGAATCAATCAAGATTTAGAACACCATAACAAATCAACATAATTGAATTAAATCCTCATCAACAACTCAAAAGGTTTCCGAAAACTAAACTAAAAAAGAAAATTATTGGCTACAGCGTTCTTCCTCTTCTTTTTCGTTATTAATATGTTCTTCTTTATCAAATAAGTTTGACAGCCTTCGATTCTTCTGCCATTTACTATAGTGACCATCGTCGTCATATACTCTTCATTATCACCTTCCTCCGCTAACTCGAAAAGAAAAAAAGAAGAAGAAGAAGAAGAGCTAGGCCCTTACCGTAAACAAAAGTTGAATAATAGAAAAAGCCTCATTCTTCCATTGCCAAGAACATAGACAGTGTATTTCAAGTGTACTTCAAATGGATCTATCCTTTAGCCGTCGGGTTGCAAAATCTGAAAGTTTGAGAACAAGGGCAAGAGTTTTGAGAAAGCAAGCTAGAGTTTTGTTTAGGGTTAAGAAAGGAGATTATGTTTCATTTATTCAAAAAAAATGTGAAATATAGAAAAAACGGTTGCGGAACAGTGGGTGTAAACGGCTGTGATATAAATGAACAGTAATATAAACCCCCTCTTTTAAGAAGTAGTAGAAATAGTATTAATTACATATATCTTAAATGTGAAAGACTGTAAAATATATGAGGGGAAACAACTTGAAGTTGATAATAAGTGAATCTGAAATTGAGTTTCCATAAAATCCATAATTATACTAATTTTATTTTTTTTTGACAAAGTTGAACATTGTAATAATTGGCATAAGAGTACATTTTAACTGATGGAAGAATATTTATGTGACAATGTGAAACTCTTTAGGGTAAATATACTCTAAAAATAGAGAAATTACTTTTTATTTTGAAATTTTACTAAAGTAAATTAGTTATCGATCTGGCAAACTATTAAACTAACACTAAAAAATTTGAATCATACCTTTTGCAAATGCAGGTTGTAATTGAAGCTGTCATTAGTGATTCCATTGTACACATGTAGCAAAGAATTAAAAAGAACTTTTCATTCCCGATAATGAAACCTGTGAAGTTTTTTTATAGCAAATGCAAAGAATGAAAAAAATAGTAACGACATAATTTTTCATGTATTTAAAATTGAGGAAACTATTGTACGAGAACATATTATAAAAATTTCTCGAAAATAAAAAATATACCTGTTCAAACATTTTAGGTATATGAATGTATAAAAGAAAGAATTTCCTTGTACACAACATTTTTAGTACATGTATTATGTGAGTTGTCCATGCTTGATGGTTTCAATAAAACTTTTAGAGATGTGCTCGTTGTTGCTCTTGATAATGCTACATATAGCTGACCATGGCAGAAAATTGGTTCTGGAAGATATAGACCGACAAAATCAAGTGTTTGACCTTGTACTTTATGTATTGTCATTGCAAAACACGGTCTAATTGAAAATTGAGTTCTCTTAAATTGAATTGAGTTTCGATCACTTTGAAGAGGTATAAAAGGGATCCTTGGTAAGAAAACATATTTCCCACAATACTCACCAGTTGTAATTTCAGCAAGAATTACGTTTTTCTCAAATTTTCGACAAGGCGTGTTCCATTGCATAATCCTTCAGAAGGATTAATATTCCGTAATAACATTACAGGACAATTTACCTTAAGTTTCAATTCATGCGGTGGAATACCATTTGGTGTCAAAGTATTCAAGAAATCTTCGTGCAAGCTTTGTTCCGATTTGTCAATTGCTTCATCAAAACTATAGTATGTGGAAAAATCATCGGGAATTTGTTCGAGTAAAATCTTGTTAATATAATCAACACATTCATTCGTAGGTGTAAGAATAACTCTATTTATCATATTATGTAAATTGTCAACATATGCCTGTATATTTGGAAAAACATGATGTATCAAAATTTTTAAAGATGTGATTTCATCTTCAAATGGTAGAATTATACTATTCGGAAGCATAATGCACTTACAAGTATGTTCTTCTTCTGTTCCATTTCCAATTCTGAGTAAGTAAGTGCAGAACATAGGATCTGATTTTGCCCTCATATTCTCAACCAATGGTAAACGTAAATAGGAAGGCCATAGGCCTGAAAAGACCAAGCTAGCTTTCATTACATCATCTTTTTTCCCTCTCGGTACCATTGAAAGAACTTGTCGAAAATCTCCTCCAAAAACTATCACTTTCCCACCGTAAGGCAAGTTACAATCAGTAATATCTCTAAGCATTCTGTCTACAGCTTCAATAGCGCAACGATTTACCATAGGCGCTTCATCCCAAATTATTAACCCAGACATTTTCAACATTATTCCTAAAGCTGATTGCTTGCTAACAGAACAATTCACTTCACCAATTGTTTCTAAAGGAATTTTAAATCTTGAATGAGCTGTGCGACCTCCAGGTAACAGAGACGCAGCGACTCCAGAGGACGTTGTTGCCAAAGCAATGAAATGTTGACCTCTTACAGCAGTTAGAAGTGCTTTGTATAAAAAAGTCTTCCCCGTTCCCCCTGGACCATCAATGAAGAAAGTACCACTTGAGTCATTTTTTACTTTTTCCATAACTTTATCATATGCAAATCGTTGTTCTTTATTGAATTTCTCTACACAATTAAAGTCTCGTTGAATATTAAAATTCATTGTTTCCTCTACAATCATTCTTGCCAATCTTTGAGTCTCATCTATATTTACAAGGAATGAAACTATTCCATAATCATTTATATTTTTTCTTGACGATTCTAATATAGAATTGATGTCTTCCAAAGCTTGTATTTCAGCATCTTTAACACATATGTTTCGATGTACATAATCATCAATCATATAGGCTTTATATCTATCCCACAATAACTTTGGATGATTAGGGTTGCAAAGTGTAAGAAGTGTAGCAAAAAGACGTCTTAAAGAACTGGGCATTTTGTAAATAATGGCTTCAAATAGACATTCTTCACAATGGTTGTCTCCTTTTAACAAACCATGTAAAAGTACTGGTTCTCGATATGTATTGACTGTTACTCCATTTAAAGTTTTAAAACTGTCATATGATGTTGGACCTTTAATATGATTCAGAAGAACACGAAGGAAATATCGTTCTCCTTCGGATGGATTAACTGTCACGATTCGCCCTATAACAATGTGTTGTTTTCTGGGAGTCCAAGTTTTTTCAGTTGCATTCCACACAAAATGTGTTGGAAAATCTCGATACAATAGCGTTCAAATAAATTCATTTACTTCATTCATCCGAAAAAATTCAGTTAGCATTGTTCTTCTCGTATACTCATTTCCAATAATAACAGATAAATCATCTTTACTATTATAAGTTACGTACTGATGATCTTTAATATGAAGTTGTAAAGCGTAAACAGTAGGATAAATTTCTGACAAATTAAAAGAAAAAATTCTCCACATAGCTTCAGGTGGAGATATCCATCTAGCTGATTGATAAGCAAAAATTTCATCAATTTTTTTATCTGTTTCATTTCTACCTATGAAACAATTAATACGATCATGTCCTTTATATACATATTTGTACAAATATTTTAATGCTTTAATAGAAGAACATACTTCAACGTTAATCTGACAGTCAAATTTTGCACTTAAATAAGGATTATATGGTACAACCCACCGATTATCTAACATTTGGCCTCTTACTTTAATAGAAATACCATTATCACGACGTCTATACAAGGGATATGAATTATCACCAAATATAGTACTGTTACAATAATCCTTAGGATATTTATTTTTACAACCACTACTTGCCAACATACATACGTTTTTTGGATTAAGGTTTCCACAAGGGCCATGCATATTGTGTTTTGCAATTACAGAATGAAGATGCAAGTATTTATTCTTATCGGGAATTTCACATGACACTATCATATCAACTTGTTCAGCACAACAAATTTTATGGGCAGAATTGAAAATCAATAATAAATGGGCATGAGGGAGCCCTCTTTTTTGAAATTCAATCATGTATATATGAGCAACAACTGAACCAAAAATATTTTCTTTGTATAAATCGTTCTTTAACTCTTCCAATTTTGCTCTAAATATACGTGCAATTAAATCTGGTCGATTTTGAACTTCGTCATTGTGTTTGAGTTCTTACATAATTTTTGGCCAATTTGAATTACATGTTATAGTTAGAAATATATCTGGTTTTCCATAACGTTGGACGATAGCCATTGCATCTAAATATCTTTTAAGCATATCTCTAGGCCCACATGTGAAAGTTTGTGGTAGAACAATCTTCTTTCCAATTTTTGACCCTCTTGTTTCCCCATTTTGAACACTATCCACAATACCTTGATAAAGTTCAGCACGAATTTGTTTCTGATTGCTACGAAAATAGTCTAATCTGGCAGTTTCAATTTTAACATACATATCTACAACATATTGTTGAAAAAGTCTACCAGTATGAAGCAACACAGACTTACTAGAAGGCCTAATTTGTAACTTGTAAGAATAGTACTCGCGGCAAGAAACCTATGATCGTTTCCTCATTCCATTGAATACTACATAAGGATAAAAAAAAATGCGGCAAGAAACCTGTGATCGTTTCCTCATTCCATTGAATACTACATAAGGATAAAAAAATGCATCTTACACCCATTTGGAACATTTAATTTATATGAATTAGTAAACATATAAAAAAGTTTAATAGCAAACCTTGAGCCTCTTTTGCAATGATTTCAGTTGCAAAATTTACTGTGCTAGGAAAAGCTACGCAATCGGGTAAATTCTGAGTTTCAAAATATGTTTTTTTGTATCTCTGAATACCTTCATGCCAACCAGGTTCTCCAAATGGGAAAAGTAAAGGGTATTGCAAAGGATCATAACAACCATAATAATAGTGAACCTTATGTGAATCACCAGAATGACCATATATAGTAATATCACGAACACACATATTTGCATTGTCATCATCCTCAACCCATACAGCGGCTACTTGAGATGCTGAAGGAGTATTGAAGACTCTTTGATCAAGTCCAGGATCGCATCTTATTTGTATTCGATGGTCGTGCAAATTGGTCATATTACTTAAAGACCTAAAGAATCTAGTATACGGATTTACTTTCAAGATTTCAATCAAAATGATCAAAGTAGATTCAACAAAATTTTCTGAAATTTTCATACGATTTTCAACTTCGTTATTCGTATCATAAAAATATAATTGCATATAAGAAGGCTGATTATTTTTCGGCAGAAGTTGATTTACATAATGATATACTTGTCCCTGAATTATGAATGTGTAAATACCTTTATACGCTCTTAAAAGGTCTATATCGCACTTTACACCAAATGAAGTGAATGCAAAATGGTTATTATATCCACGTGAAATTTTCTTAAACTCCATGCATTCAGGTTCTTTAGAAGTAAATAAATTATACAATTCAGTTGGTGAATCAGGCATATAAAATTTAACTTTTCCATCAGAGCAACAGAACCCTTTAGTTTCTCTATAAAATTTTCGCGCACCACAATGTTCACAATTGTTCCATGTCGGTAATACATATGCATTAGTAGGTATGTTTAATAGGTTAGAAATCCCTCGTACTTTAGAATGAACAATATTAGTACGTGCTTGATTTGAAGTAGAAGCCTGAAAATTAGGATGCAACGTGGAATTATTTATTCTTTTACGACGATCAACGCGTGGGCTTTGAACTCGATTCCTCCTATTCGCCTGTCTTTAGTTTTGTTGTTGGCGAATAAAAGCAGCATACGATTCAGTTGCATTTTGAGAAGTACTATCAATGTTCGAAGAATCCATGGGGAAAAGATCTTCACCTCTAGTTTAACGAAAGCAAAGAATTTTCATTTTAGTGAATGAAATAATTAAAAAATTAATAATACTACTAAGTTTCCACAATAGGAAAAATATTCGATAGACACAAGTGAACCAAACTCTCACAATATTAAAAAACATGCATAAAGCTGAAGTTTAATAAAAAAAAAATTGTTTACTTCAAAGCAATAGCAATAAATATAAACATTGTTGACTGAACTATTGATGAAATAAAATTTTAATAAGACTTATATGATGTAAAAGCAGGAATAAAAGATTAACATTTTTATATGATTCTTGTAAAATTAATAGTTTTTTTTAAAAAAAAACATAAATACTATTGTAATGTTGTAAAAGTTTTTGCTATACTACTACCGAAGAATAAGAAAATAAAGACTTCTAAAAAGAAAATATTTTTCATCTATAAATTTAGTGGTTTTGCTTCCACCCAATCAACCTACATATGCAATCTATTTCTAAAGTTATAATGTAAGTAATTTATCAACAATCATAAACTTAATAAATTCATAAGTGGACGACTGGAAATACACAAAAGAATTCGAGCAGCAAGTAATAAAAGATTTCCATCTATGAATTTCTGCCTTAATAAGCTCTAACAAAGTATCTTTTTCAATGAAAAAGTATGGTACTCTAGCTTCTCTCTTGGAACATTCGAAATTCTAATTCAAAGCAACCTACAGAATAAATTTCCCTATAAATACACTTCCATTATAACTATTTAACTTAGACAAGACTTCTATCTACCACGGTCATCTATCAATTTATAAAAAATCAAAGCATGGCACTAAATACTACACGGCGCCTTCAATTCAAATTTTATTCATCTTTAAAGTTAATATAAATCTACATGTCCCCAACACATATATTTTAAAGAATTTTTAAAGTTCATACAAAGTTAAGCGTTTTCAACTTAAATAATTTTCATATTAGACAAGAATAAGAAAAAAATATCTGTAGTCTACATACTAAAGGAAGAAACTGGTTACGTGTGAAATTGTGCCAAACATAAACAATAACTTGGACAATCTCCTCTCTTATAGTAAAGGCAGATACTATTTTATTATTATATACTAATTAAATAAAATATATTCTATACGAAAAAAAGTAATCCCCTCTCCTCACACACGTAAACATGTATGTATGTAAATGTGTATAATTTTCACATCTATATAATTTTCACCCTCTATTAACATTTTTTTTTTGCGTCCAGTGCAATTTCATTTTCTTCTACAGTGAATGAAAAATGGAGTGAAATAGTGATTTGAAATTGTTGAAGTTGGCTATGAATGATGATAGTTGATTCCTCACTAGCTTCGAAACGGCGAAAATTCATGACCTTCAACCTCATGAACCATGATATGTAAACGTAGATATATTTTCATGCATGTACAGAAACGAGAACATACCTTATATGGAGCTAAAGGAAGACGAACCCAGCTAGATTTTCATCTACAAACAAAGGAAAACTACGTACCTTAAATAAATAGTAAGAAAATAAAAAAAGAAATACACAAAAAAGAAAAATTATAAGAAGAACATACCCAAAATAATTGTTGCAACTTCTAGAATTTTCTTCTCCACTATTGATGACGAGAAAATACGAATTAGGCTAAAGGCAAAAGCGAATAATGGTAGAAGGACGACCTTTTTTTTTCAGAGAAAACAAGATTTTGGGGAGAATTCGTTCTGCAAAACAATGGCTAGAATTTAGAAAGAGAAGGATTGAATTGATAGAAGAGTATTGTGCGAAATTTATGTGGTAAGAAAAAAAATAAACAGCACACGACATTTTACTTCAAATGTGGGTCCCATTCATTAATGTTTGGACAACTATATTTTTTAATTCCCATATCACCCTTAACATTAATATAGGTATGGAAATTAGTGTGTAGTTAGAAAGTGAAGGGTAATTGTGCCAAATTGTTTATTAAATAGAGGGTATAATATTACTTTTGATATCTCAATTATGTGGGAAAAAGGACAATCATCTAATAACTTTGCTATATACCTCGGGAATGCACGTTTTCAGATGTCAAGAAATCAACAAAATCAACTACACTTCAATAAGTCAAAAAAATCAACTACTTTAATTATTCCTCACGAGAGGAGATGGATGTGAGACAATACAAAAGCAAGAAGACGCAGACTATGCGGTCTCAAAAAGAAAACGTGACTCATTTTGGGGACCAACCAACTGTAGCAAAACCAGATATGTAAATAGAGCAAGTGTGAAAACCAGCGTGACATGAATGAATAGTAAAGAAAGCCCCTCTTTTAAGAGAGTAAAGATTAGAATTGGGGTGTGACCCGACTACATAGGAATCTGATTCAAAGTTTATTTGATAATTATAGTTGAAATTCAATTGGGAGTTTTGTGTTGGACTTAAAAGTTCAAGTTAATAATGAACAAAATTCAGAAACTTTCCGGAGCACACAATAGAATTTTTTCCTAAAAATAACTGAAAGAAGAAAGACAGACAGACCTACAGGTATCAAATTTCCCCCTCTTGTCAAAAATCTGATTTTTATTGAATGGCGAGCACCCCAGAATGGGAATCCAAGAAAAAAGAATATAAATGAAAAGAGTCTTCAAGAAAAAAGCCATGAAAGGCAGAGCGGAGTTTATGGAGAGAGGGACCCACTCTTTTGAGTCATTCGAGCGGTTAGATTAATTCTGGGTCGATCTTTTGGCTTGCAAGTTGATTTTCAAAGCGAAAATAGCATGTTAGAGATCTTAATTAGACTTATGAGCAGCTGTATTTATAGGGTTATCGAGTGAGGTGAGCCATTAGTCGGTTGGACATGCAATTAGGCGAGTTGACTTGAGCTCGCTCGTAATTTAACTACAAAATGCAATTCTTAACAAAAAAGCGAGTGGCTCGTGAGTCAGCTCCACTTGCTTATAAGGATGAGATCTTAGAACGAGCCTAGCCTAACTTTCTTAAGGTGAACAGGGTCGTGCTAGGCTCGCCCCATTCACCAGTGCGAGCTAGCTCGCTGGACGAGCCACTCTATTTAAAACTTCTACAAATTTCTCTCTTGTTCTTCTTTCTTCGGTTTTTTCTGTTTTTCTTCTTTGTATTGTATCCAGTTATTTATTAATTTAAGTCTAGATTAATGTTCCTTTTATTTTCTAGCCTCATCAGATTTTTAAAATTCTATCCAGGAATAATTTTAAAAAGCAATTCACATCATCGCCCTTCAAATTTCTGTTTGGTTTGAGTTTTCTTTTTGAAACTTACAAATATTGCATTCTTCTCACTGAATGCAGCATTTGGGAATATTACATTACCCTTTAGATTTAACTTCGATGACTTCAAAATTAAATAGACAAAGCAGAAATAATAGATATGGGTTACAAGTCAGTTGACATATTCTTGTAGGAATAAATACTAATGGGCTTCCCAAATATAAAGGATTCGAGATACAAATTCATACCTAATCAAATCCCCGTAGAAAGTTCAACAAAAGAGGTGTAAACAACACTTCTATCAACACAAAACGCGCAAAAATTTATAAGCAAGCAAGATTTCTAGGTAAAAAGAAGTGATGGTCGAGAGGTGAAGAATGTACAAATAAAAACAGGAATTCATATTGATGGGGTCAAAGGGCTGTTTATACTTTATTCGTCTATAAGTCAAACAATGTATAATCTCTCATATGAAATGAAAATTCTTTTCCTTTTTTCCTTTTTGTCCTCTTGAAGGAGCAGGTTGGAGAGCGAGGTGTGTGATTCTTGCATAGGTAGAGTAGTCGTCAACTTTCTAACTCTTTGAATATGAAAATGATGGTGGAGACTGCTTCAAGCTCGAAATGTCAAACTGTTCCAGGAATCTCTGGTCTGCAAGTCTAGCTTTGTCAGCTGCATATCTCAGATACTCGTCAAAAATCGTGGACAGGCACCAATTCTGCAATTTTCTTAAGCACCCAACAAGGCAACCAGTTCGGTGCTTCATCACACGTACCCATATTAGTTTATGAATATTCACGGATCTATTATTGGAGAATATAATAGTGAAATGATAATATTATAATTAGTACCTTCCCCCTTTTGCAGTGAATGAGAAGTGGACGATTCCGTGCATCTACAAGAAAATTCAAGAGCAAGACTTAGAAACATAGCAAGGGAAAAAAAAGTAAAAATGTTAATCTGCAATTCGGAAATTGAAGTGTCACCATACCCAGCACCAACTTTAATGCATCACGAATCAAATCCTCAGGGATATTTACAAATGGTTCCTGCACATTATATAATTCAGGCTCTAAAATAAAATTGTGTACCACATGAAAAAAACTAAAATTGAGCAAGTTAACTCAACTGAGAGATATCATAGTTGCATTAAGTAATAGCTAAAGCTTTAAAAATGAACATCAAAAGGTATTTCAACAAAGAGTGCAAATAGCATATTTGGTCCCCAACCTTTCAAGAAGGTTGCAGGTCTACCCTCAACCTTTAAAAGTGAAATCAAACATCCCAAACATTTGTCCTCTTCTTTAAATAATTAAAAATAATTCAGAAAAAAAAAATTAACTAAAAAATTATAAGACTTTGAAGTGTCATCTTCCCTGATCACCCCACATATCCTCCCACCCTAATCCAAATCTATGCCACCACGTTTCTTCTGCCACCATCCCCACTTCACCCAACCCCAACCCACCAATATTTTTCATCTTCCTGACTTCCCGTCATACATATATGGCAGCCATCAATTCACCGCCCTCAGTTTCACCAATAATCCCGACTAAAATTTCACAAAATATCCCCAAACCCATCTATTCAATTTCACTTCAAAATCATCTAACTCTTGTCCTCATTTTCACTTTTCACCATCATTGAAGTGAAAGGACCGCTCACGGTTCCTTCTTCAAATCCTGCAACAATATTCGTACATCTCAAGTGCCCAAGAATTTGTTTGATGTGGAAATTTTATTGCATTCTTAGCTCACAACACTTTGTAGTGTAAAGAAATTTTTTGCTCAAGCAGAATGTAATGTTTTTAACTGATAAATGCTTAAAGGTGCAAGATTTGAAGCAAAAAGTACCACAATCCATCGTTTTTCACTTCTTTTATAGTTTTGCTTCAATTTTTAGGCCAATTCTCTAAAACCTAGAACCTATTGTTCTGCTTCAAAGTCTTCATTACATTTTTCCCAGCATCCACAAAATTCTTGGTGGGTGATATTTTTAACACTAAAGAGAAGCTTGAGTCACAGGTCTATAAGTTTTTGGAAGGTGCTATTTTCCTTTCGATTGTACTATATGTATATAATAGGTTTACATAATGGTTTGCATACACATGATACGGTGAAATATGATTGAATCAAAACTTCTTCAACCAAATAAAAAAAATATTTCCCATTTTCTTTTTGACATTTCATCTGTACGTAAACCATTATACAACTGCTCATGTACTAGTAGCATTATTCTTTTCCTTTTGTATACCTTCTTGCCCATTCCACCCATTTGTTACACTCTAATTTTCATAGTGAAAAAATAGGTTTTTGGGTTAGAAAAATTTGGAATTTGAGTTGATGAAATTCATGAAAAGATAATAATGGCCAGTGGTGGTGTTGGACGGAGGTGATGGCTGGTGGGGATAAAGTGAAGTGAAGAAGATAAACGATTTGGGATTGAATCTTTTTGTTATTTATTGTTTTTCTTTTGTTAGTTTCCTTTTTAATTACTTAAAGAGAAGGGAAAATATGTCCTCTCACTCGACTTTAATGTACAAATTGGACGGATTCTGTGAACAGGGACGAACCGTGCCTATTTCGTGGGGATGTCTGGTACCATTTTTAAAGGTTGGGGTAGATCTGCAACATTTTTGAAAGGTTGGGGGACCAAATATATATTTCTACCAAAAAGAATTGAATATCAAACTATGATTCACAAAAGTTTCCACCAACTTGACAAGAACAGGAAAAATACTCAAATGCTTTTCAGTTATGTAATTTTCTTATTAGAACTATTTCACATTGGGAATGGAAGAATCCATAGTTTTACTGGTAATGAAGAATATTTAGTAGTATATGTATACATAACTGCTTTTCCTCACAACCACTAATCAATTATAGGTAAATGAACAGAAGTAGTAGAGGAAACTTGCTTCAGCTCATCAAATATTTAGCTTCTAAGAAGAACCAATGGAAACCTTGGAGAAATAATAAAATTCTCAAGAATTGAGAAATAACTCCATGAAATCTGAACAACACAGACCCCCCACTTTTATGCAAAAATTATGCCCAACTCTAAACTCGTGACCAAGGAACAAAGCGGACTGGAATCTTACAAATAGGGCCTAAGTAACTAGCAAACAAATTCTAAGGAACAACCTAAAATGATAATTTAGTCCAAATTTGGTAAGCTTAAGCAGCAAGCAATTTGTGGCAATAGCCTACGGCGTTCGTGACTCTATATGACTGATGAAGAAAGTAAAAGAATGATAAAGATGAGATGCCTAAAAACAATAAAATGTAAAGCACTTGAATCGAGCTCCCAATAGCCACACCAGTTTCTCCTCCTCTTTTTCCAATTATCTAGAACTACCATTTTATTTTTAAACTGATGCACTTATACCTACAGAATTTCACGGTTTGGGACATTTTAGTCTATTTATTCACACAATTCAAAAAATCAAAATCATACTATAACTCAAAGGGAAAAACTTGGTCATAACAAATCAACTTGTTTCCCACATGCAAACTTATGTGTGAAATAAAAATGGGACCTTGGATCCTTCTATGCCGAACTGAAAAAGCCTAATGCCGTTTGCATTGAGAAATTTCATATTTGCTTCAGGATAGGGCTCTGGGCACAAGTATCTACAATAACACCAGAGCATCAATTTCAAATTTTTTTCACCAGAAATTAAACAAAACAATAAAGAGATGATAGAAATAATCTTACATGATTGAACGAAGGCCTAGGGTTTTCAAAAACGGGAAATTAGGCGAGTCGGGGAAGCCGGATCGAAAAACCCCGTAATCTACCATCGCGAAATTCAACGGCGGAACGAAGAGAAGTTCTTCCGATTCTACATTGACTGCAGTACCGTTTTCCGCTGTCGCATCCTCTACGGCGTTTCCGATCGTCGCGTGGCAAATTGGTCGCTGACAACTACACATTCTCATTAATGTCGCGCCAAAAATTGCATGATCATGTAGAGATTTAACAGAAATATATAGAGGAAGTTTGATATATGTATTAAATTGTTGAAGCAGTAATGGATTAGAATGGTTTGATTCTGGGTATCTTGGAGGATCCAGTTGCCAAAAGAGAAGGGGGTGCAAAAAGTGCCAGGGTATAAAAAAAGAGTGAATCAAATACATATCCAAATGGCACCATCTATTTGTTTTGTGCAATATAGGTATAATTTACTAGGATTTCACCCTTTGTACACCAAGCCTTACATTTCGATGTACAGTTCCCTCACATAAAAAGAAGGATCTATGCTCAAGAATTATGCTATGTATCTAGAATAATGTACACAAAGTATTACCCCTCACATGAAGGGACCCACATTTAATAAAATATTTGTGGGTCTCCCTCCATGTGAAGGGGTATAATCACAATAAATTGTACAGGGAGAATAATCATATGCCCAATTAATGTGCGGGGCTGCATACCAAGTGTAAATGTAGCTTAACCCAATTTACGAGGAATTATATCGTGTTCATCTTAAATAACTTGATATAAATTTGAATTAAATTTATCATTAGTAAATAAATTAATATGTTATGACAGCTATTTAACATAAAAATGATATGTGCAGTATTTGATTTTGACATAAATTAAAATTTCTATCAAACATGAACTAAGCATAGATGACGTAATGTTAATTCGTATTAAATTTATTGTTGACAAATAAATTAATATGTAATATCATCTGGTTTAAAATAACATGATATGTCATGTTAACTATGCTTAGTAATATCTTGATCTAATAAAAAATTAAAAATAATATATGATATATTAAATTGAAATAATGTTGTTAAGCACCAGTTTGTTTGTCATTAAGTGACAAGTTCAATAAAAGTGACATTCTATGCAGTCTTAAATCATTAAATTGATGAAATCATGTTACTTGTACATTGAGTTTGACATCATTCTTTACATTGTGTCATGAGACGACATCACATTGGACAATTTGAAAATAAAAAACACTTTCCCGTCAACAATTATTTTGAAAACAAGAGAATGTCAAGAATAATGTCAAAATGTTAATGTACAGTAGCATGGTTGAAATTGATATCAATTTAATGAACCCAACAGTTACAAATCTCAATGTTCTTTTGAAGTTATTTCTTAACCACCACTGAATTTTAGTGAACAGTCAAATCTTTTTGACGTTGATTTTTATCCTCAATCTCTCTATATTTGAACATTAACGATTTTGCAAATGATCTGAAATCACAAATACGGAACTGATCGATTGGAAGACATATTTGAAAGGCCTTTTTAGTTAAGTAAAAATCGGGTTTTAATATATTTTGATAAAAGTTGATAAAATGTGTGATTAAAAAATTAATAAATATTGTAAGTTCTATAAAATATGTTATTAAAAATAAATTTGAAAAAAAAAAAGAGTTTTAAAAAATAGGGACCAAACAAGGATATAACACAATGAATGTGCAAGAACAGAGAAACGGAGGGTCATAGATTTATCATGGGCCATGAAAAATGAAAGTCGTGTTCAATCCATCTAGTTTCAAATATTGGGCGTAATCAAATTTTGGCGTCGTTGTCCAGGAGACGGTACAAATAATTAAAGAATTTTTGAGCAAAAGGGTGACTTCGTTTATCTTTTATCTTTTTAGTTTGTTGTTTATTTTTAATTGTATTTTATTATTTCTCACATTTTTGCATTTTTGTGCTTTATGAATAGGTATCGAAACGAGCAAGGGACTTCAACTAGAGTTTGAATCACTTTCTAACCCTCTTTTTGATTCTACATCTGTAGACACGAGCATCACATTACACAACACAATGAGCAATAGTGACCACGACGATGCGCCCTAGAGGACCCTACATGATTACCTTCACCCAACACACACTTCCACGCCATCTTGCATTTTGTTCCCACCCAATATGCCACGTATAGACCTAAAATCGGGAATGATTCAACTTCTTCCCATTTTTCACGGACTAGAAAATGAGAATCCATATGTACATATTCAAGAATTTGAGGAAGTTGTTGCAACCTTCCACAATCAACGTGGTACAATGGATACAATCAAGCTTAAATTTTTCCCATTTTCACTCAAAGAACGAGCAAAAACTGGTTGTATCCATTGAAACCACATTCAATTGGAACTTGGGCTGAAATGACCCAAGCTTTCTTCAGAAAATATTACTCCCATCATTAGACCACTACTCTTAAGAAGCAAATTTCCTCATTTGTCCAAAAGGATAGTGAAACCTTATACCAAGTCTGGGAGAGATACAAAGAGTTGCAAACCCTTTGCCCCCACCATGGATGTGAGAGTTGGCGTGTGGTGAGTTACTTTTATGAGGGCCTAACACCTAGGGAGCGTCAATTTATAGAAATTATGTGTAATGGAGACTTCTTACAAAAAGATCCGAATGAAGCCATAGAGTATCTAAACGACTTAGCTGAAAAGGCTCATACTTGGATTGGACCTAATGCCTCCGAGAGAACCAATAGGTCACGACCTCAGGGAAACTCTATTAGCACAGGCATTTATCATCTTAAAGAGGAAGACAGCCTTAGAGCCAGGGTAAAAAGTCTCACTAGAGAATTAGAAGCCCTAAGTGCTAAGGATTCAAAACCTACACATGCTGTTTCCCGTGTTGAGTTTGAAGGGTTTTGTTTTGTGTGTGGTGGCATGGATCATCCAGCACAAGAGTGTGCTACTTACGTTGAGATGAGGGGACTTTTATGAGGAACACTGTAATGCTTTAGGCATATATCAAAGTCGTACACCCCTTACTCCGAGACTTATAACCCAGGGTGGCGGAATCATCCCAACTTTAGCTGGAAGTCTGAGAACCAACAACATGACCAACAAAGTCAAGCTTACAATGCACCCCCACGTCAACCCATGTCCTCTAGGAATTCCTTAAAAGATACCCTACATGCATTCATCAAGGTACAAGGCGAAACAAATAAAAAATTTGAGGCTATGATTGCCCAAGTAGTCGAGGAAAACAAAGAGATAAAGAATCATATATCTAAGTTAACCAATGCCTTAGCTGTAGGGAAATGTAGAAAGTTTCTAGCTCAAACTCAACCAAATCCAAAAGGGCAGCACATGGCACAAACCTCAGGATCCGAAGAGACCAATTTTAAGGAGGCGAATACCATAACCAATAGATCAGGGAAGGTTGTAAAACCAATCCCTCCACCTAGAGAGAATGAAAAAGAGCCAAATGAGCCTAATGAGAGCAGTCCTAGTGAGGAAGTAGTGGAAAACCTAGCTAGAATACTTTTCCCTCAAGCTCTCAAGTCCACTTCGAAATCAACAGGTCAGCATAATGAAATCCTAGAACTCCTCAAACAAGTCAAAATCAATTTGCCTCTCTTGCATGTGATCTCTCAAATTCCTATATATGCTAAAGTCCTTAAGAAATTATGCACTGTAAAAAGGAAACATCATATCAAAAAAAAACTGCCTTCTTGACTGGGCAAGTGAGTGTTGTGATAGAACAAAGGATCCTACCAAAGCATAAGGACCCTGGTTTTCCTACCATTTCTTGTGTCATTAGGAACTGTGAGTTTGCACGAGCCCTTCTTGATTTAGGAGCTGGTGTCAACCCCATGCCCTATGTTATATACTTGTTCTTAGGTCTAGGAGATATGAAACCCACCTCAGTGGTTCTACAATTAGCTGACCGGTCCACCATACTGTTGGGAATCTACTTAACATGCACAGCGAAAATAAAATAATTTTCGATTCCCACCAGGAATCGCCTTTGTGTTTAGATAGAAATTGTGATAAAAATAATACCTTTTCTACATCTGCAAACTCATTCGCTTTACTTGCCTTTCAACGACCTTGATCTGTCAACCACACTTGTCCAATTGTCCAGCCTCCAACGGTAATCCACACAGAGAACAGATTGCAACTACCAGGATTTTCTCCTCTTGTGCTAGCAAGAAATTATGAGAAAACTATTTGGATTAGAAACTCTAGCTATATATTTATACAAGCCCAAAAGGGTTTGGTTTGATCCGATCCAATATTTAATTAATCCATTTAATTAAATTCGGTCCGTGAGTTAATTAATCCAATTAATTAATTCAGGCCTATAAATAACCAACTCAATTAATTAATTTATCCAACGATTGTTAAATAATTAATTGACAAATTGCAATCTTCAAATTCTCTTTTGTGTGCGACCCATCAGGTTTCCGATCACGATACTTAACGACGTGAAATATTATTTTGATTTAATCAAAATTGATAAATTAAAATACCATTTTAATTTATAATCAATTCACACTCGCCGTCCCAAATTGACATCTGGTAATGTGTCAGAGCAATACATGTGACGGAGAATGTCATGGGGTATGACAAAACTAAACTCGTTTGTTTACCGTGAAACTATAATCTCTTCATTAATATGATCCGATCAATTACGAGATATGGAAGTGTGTCAATCCCGAATATCGATCATATTTTTCACTCCACTATTAAGTCAATATAAGTCGAAAATTCCTTTTCGACTTATGAGTACACATTGGCCAAGAATTTCGTTATCGACTTAATTGAATGAAACGCAAATCATAATCTCCTACTATCTAAGAGTGACGAATCCTCTATTGGTCATTCAAAACCTTCATACGATTCTTAATATACCCGAACGATGTCGTATTAGCGGCCCTTGGCAAAGCAACACCCAACACCGTCAAAACATGACTGTCCTCATATAAGATACTATGAGGACCTCAAGTCAAAGGATCAATCCCACTACCGAACATTAGAGATTAATCACTGACACTCGAATAGTTATCCATGTGAAATCTCTCGATGGGTCTCCAATGTTTCGTGTTCATTTAAGTGTCACCACACTTTAGCTTGTGAGATCAGCTACTTACTTCACAAGTAAGAAATGCCACACGTGATGGTCTATCCGTAATAACGATATATGTATCTCATTATTACTTACGACCACGAACGATTTAAGATTCAATCATATGTAATTTGTATCTCACAATCACAACTCCTTATGATTAACAAATTACGAAAATTTGAATCTATGGACTCTATTATTTATTTAATTGTCTATTAATTAAATAATAGATCTGCCATTAAATTGCATTAATTATATATTAAAAATATTTATGTCCAAGGTTGATTGGACCTAGGG